TTTGGATTCCGAAAAAGTAAACATGGAGGGGGGGGGGGGGGGGGGGGGGGGGACTAACTCCTCCTAGCTTAGTAAATAACAAATGCAGCATTCAAATTTCAAAGCTAGCAGCTTGCATTCGGATCATATGCTCAAATTTTCATCCCTGGGCAGGCTCTGAACAGTGTCTGACCATCTCCCCGGTGAATGGTCGCTGCTGTTAGAGGACACTTGAGCTTCTGCTCTCGCCTCTCTCACCATTTTCAGCACCTCCCTCATCATGGGCCTATTTTCTGGCACGACCGACACACACGCCATTGCGATGTTAAGAAGAGCGGTCAGCTTCTCATCGGACGCCTCATTGCTAGCGCCGACGCCGGAGGCGGCCCCAGGTTCATCGCCAGATTCGGTCTCAACTTCCCTGACGGAACGCACCCATCTGGGAATATCGGACCCGTATTCCTGGACGAGATCCTGGAACGGAGTTTTCCCGGTGAGGAGTTCGAGGAGGAGGACGCCAAAGCTGTAGACGTCAGCATGCTGAGTGAGAGGCCGATGTGGGTCTCGGCATTCAGGAGGTCGGTAGAAGAGGGAAGTAGCACCGGATTCGTCGAGGGAATCTGGATTTCTGAATGGAGTGAGGCCGTAATCGGTGAGGCAAGATTCGAAGTCGGATCCCAAAAGGACGTTGGAAGATTTTAGGTTTCCGTGACTGAGAGCGGGGTTCTGGTGGATGAAGAGGAGTCCGGTGGCCACGTCTTCGGCGATTTTCAGGCAGGATGTCCAATGAAGAGGCTTTGAACCACTGGAAGCTCTTGATCCTGTTCATCATTCAAAATATTCACTCATTTTATCATCAAATAATAATAATAATAATAATAATACTTTAATTTGAAAAATGATCTTGGTACACGCTCCCTAGATTGATTGGTTTCACGCAAGCAATTCAGATATTTTATTCACTCATAAAACATGCATGTTTTGTGTGCAATTAAAAATGTCACTGAAAAACACGACAATGACATGAAGGGAAAAAATTGGAATTGATTTTCCTTTTATATTTATTTTAAAAGCGGAACCAAAATATTTCCAAAAGGGGTGGGTATAAATAGTTTTAAAAAAAGGATCCAAAAAGGAAGATAGGACACCAACACACCATTCATTCTGCTTCAAGCTCTAGCTCTAGCTACCTACACCCAATTTTATTTATATAAAAAATAAAAAAAACACCCCGCATAAGTTTTAGTTAGGATTTGAAATTAGGTACAACTTCGAGGAACTGCTGACTTAGTCACCGTGACTAACCTCCCCACCATCCTGTCGAATCGGGGTGGGGAGCTCCTGGGGTGGGAGATTCCACCTTTTTTTTGGAACAATAGTTAGGACTTGAAATTATGTTGCCGAACCCGCACGGGTAGCTCAGTTGGTCGAGTGGTGGGAGATTTGGAACAATGGACCAAGGTTCGAATCCCCACAGCGACCGGGTGGAGGTCACAGAACCTGAAATAAGGTTGAGTCTATGGTGCGCACGGGTGTACGGGCCTACTGCCATTCTGCTGACTGAGTCACCGTGACTAACCTCCCACCATCCTGTCGGGTCGAGGTGGGGGCTCCTGGGGTGGGAGATTCCACATTTTTTGGAACAACAATGAAATTATGTTGCCGAAACCAAAAGTAACTTCACAAGATAGGTAAAAGGTTCCCTAGGCCCTAGCTAATCAAACAAGTAAGTAGCATTAAATTTTCTGTCAAGGTAAAAAATCAGCAACAGCCAACAAAATGACTAAAAAAGAGAGAGTAAATACCGTGAATGAGAGAGAAAAGACTGCCATTAGGGAAATAATCATATACGAGCAAGCGCTCCTCCTTAGCTTGGAAATACGCTCGGAGTGGGACCAAGTTGGGATGCCGGAGGCTACCCACGATGTCCACGTGTCGCCGGAACTCCTCCACCCGGGGGTACCTCGACTCCCTCAGCCGCTTCACCGTCACGATGTACCCGGACTCCATCACCGCTTTGTACGTGCTCCCGATTGTGCCCCTCCCCAGCGTCTCCGCCGACGCCTTCAGCAGCTCCTCCAAGCTGTACCTCATTTGCTCATCCCCTGCCCCGCAGAACACCAGCGCCCCTACCCCCCCTCCCTCCTCCCACGAAAATGACCCCTCTTTCCTCCCGTTATTACTGCCCCTCTCCTCTCCGCCCCCCTCCGCCGCCGCCCCTTTACTCCCCATCCTCCTTCCTCTCCTCCTCAAACAGATCCCTATCAGAATACCCATGCCTACCACCGCAACTACTCCACCGGCGATTGGAAATGCGATTACAAACAGCACCCTCCGGTTCCTTCTCAGATGCTTCGTCGTCGGTTCCCTTCCCGGGCCCGGATTCGGGCATTCTTTATTTAACTTCACGCCGCAGAGCTCGGGGTTCCCGGAGAACGCAGATTCGTTAAAAACTGACATTGCACGCGTGGTCGGGATTCTGCCGGAGAGCCGGTTGTTGGAGACGTTCAAGAATCTCAGGGTCGTCTGGTTCAGAGCCGGGATTTCTCCGGTGAATCGGTTGTCTTGCAGGTACAGCGCGTAAAGCCGCGAAAGGCGGAGAACGGACGAAGGGATTTCGCCGGAGAGTGAGTTACCAGAGAGAGCGATGACCTTGAGGCGGTGGAGGCGGGTGAGGCTCTCCGGGAAGCCGCCGGTGAAGTTGTTGTTGTTGAGGTAGAGAGATTTGAGGTTGGGGAGGGCGGAGAAGGTGGGGATTTCGCCGGAGAGGGAGTTGTCCTTGAAGCTCAACACCCTGAGCTGATCCAACCGGCCCAAGCTCCGTCCATCCAACGCGCCTCTCAGGCTGAGCCGCTCCACCACCAGCTTAGTAACCCTCCCATTCATGCACTCCTTCACACCACGCCACCGGCAAACACTCCCAACTCCACTCCCCACCCAATCCACGAGCGAGTTCAACGGGTCAAACCCAGATTTCAACGCCAGCAGGGCGTCGGCGTCGCTGGAGTTCACCGCAGGAAAGTCCAGAACCGCGAATGAAGTCAAGAACAGCAAGGCTAGAGTGCCGAAAGGGTGCATATTGGACAAAAGGCAGCTATAACAAAAAGTTCAGAGCATTTCAAAGTTTTTATTTCAAAAAAAAAAAAAAGCAGCGTAGGGTAGATGGCGAAAAGAACGTGAAAGATCCAAGAAAAAGGTTATAGCTTTAATGAAGCAAAGGGAGTACAATTAGCAAGAAGGGAAATCTCCAGATCTAATCTGAGAAGAATGGATAGGGGTGGGTGAGATTAGCATAGCAGCAATTGAGGATGATGACGGAATTGTGTTTGCCATTCCGGGCCAGAAAATCCAGTGTAGAGTGGAATGCTCCCGAGACTAGAGACCTGTCACTGTCAAAGCTTGCTCTTCAACTCTGGGTTGACCATGGGAACAGAAACTTCAAAGAAGAGAGAAAGTCCTTTGAATTTAACATCCGAATGAATGAGTGAATTTGGTTGAGGCTTATCCCGCAGCAGGCCGATCTCTTGATTCTCTGCTGGAACCTCCCAAAGTGACAACTACCGCTTTTTGTCCGACACCACACAAACACACTCACACGCGAGCCTTGTGACTTGTAAGGACCTTCGACATCGCAAAGTCGAAAACCGTGCGACTTCAGTAGGCGTCTCGCGGAATCCGACGGGTGATTGTGGTTCCAAACTCCAGTCCGATCCGAATACTTTCCGTTTATTGGCTTTATTTTGAAAAATATTCGTAGCATGATGGGGCATTAAACCGTTTTTGAGTATCAATTTTTGATAAAAAAATTTGAGTCTTGCACTAGATTCAATAACTTGTATCCAATAAAGATAAACTTCTCACTTTTGTCATCCAATTTGCTTCTTTTTTGATTCGGCACATGAGCGTAAGCAATAATCCCAAAAACTTTCAAGTGGGCAATTACGGGCTTTCTTCCACTCCATGCTTCTTCGGGGGTTTTGTTCCAAACACTTCTAGAAGGAGATCGGTTTGACAAATAAACCTCACAATCCACGGCTTCGGCCCAAAATTCCCTTGGAACATTTTTGCTTTTAAGCATGTTTCGAACCATATTAAGAAGGGATCGATTTTTCCTTTCAACAACTCCATTTTGTTGTGGAGTATATGGAGCCGTTAAGGGGCGATGAATACCATTTTCTTCACAAAAATTTTCAAAGTCTTTTGAAGTGAATTCCCCCCACGATCGGATCTCATGGATTTTATTTTAAACCCGCTTTCATTTTCAACATGAGCTTTAAATTTCTTGAAGGCCCCAAAAACGTCGGATTTATGTTTTAGAAAATAAACCCAAGTTTTCCGACTAAAATCATCAATGAAAAGAGCAAAATAATTACTATTTCCGAGAGAGCTTGGTTTAATTGGCCCACATATATCTGTGTGTACAAGCTATAATGGTTGTTTTGCTCTTGTAGATGCTTGCTTTGGAAAACCTTTTCTTGGTTGCTTTCCAAATAAACATCCTTCACACAATTGATTAGCTTCATTGATTTTGGGCAAACCTTTCACCATACCTTTATCACTCAACAATTTTAAACCTTCAAAATTAAGATGTCCAAACCTCAAGTGCCAAATCCAAGATGAATTTTTAAAAGATGCTTTCAAACATTTTGGACCCCCATTATCAATGTTTAATGAAAACATTCTATTTCTTGACATTGGTACTATAGCAACCAAATCCCCATTTTTATCTCTCATCAAAAGGGTGTGATCTTTCATATGAATGTCATATCCCTTTTCTAAAAGTTGCCCCCAACTTAAAATGTTTGATTTCATGTTGGGCACAAGGTAGACATTAGAGAATAAATCATTTTGTCCATTTTTTAATCGGATTAAAATTTTCCCCTTTCCTTTTACCGGGATTTTTGATTCATCTCCAAAGTAGATATTTCCACTTACCGATTCATCAAGCCCGACAAACATATCTTTCTTCCCGCACATGTGGTTGCTTGCTCCCGTGTCTAAGTGCCATGTCGTTTTGGTGTCACTTTCTCCTCCTTTATGGGCCATCAACAATGTTGAATTTTCTTCTTCTTCTTTGGCAAGATTTGTTCGCTCCTCAACTTTATTTTTTGCCAATCTACAATCGGAGGCAAAGTGACCAAATTTTTGACAATTATAACATTGAACTTGATACTTATCATACCTTGGTCTTGAAAAACCTCCTCTTCCACGGCCTCTTGATTGATAGAAATGTGGACTTCTCTCTTCTTTGTTGAAAGTTTTATAACCTCCTCTTCCATAGTCTTGGCTTCGACCGCGCCCTCTTGAACTTTGACTTCTTCCCTCTTGAAAAATCTCTTTATTTTTTAAGGTGAGCTTGGTTTGAAGGGCTTGCTCCAATGGCTCTTGCTTTATTCTCTTCTTGAGTTTTTCTTCATGAGCTTGAAGAGATCCCAAGAGATTATCAACCGTCATTGTTTCTAGATCTTTAGATTCTTCTATTGCCACAACTATGTAATCGAATTTTGAATCTAAAGACCGTAGAATTTTTTCAACCACACGATTGTCTTTGATTTCTTCTCCATATCTTCTTAGTTGATTCACGACGGTTTGAACTCTTGAGAAATAGTCGTCAATGGATTCCGAAGAGTTCATGTTTAAAGATTCAAACTCACCTCGAAGACTTTGAAGTTTTACTTTCTTCACCTTATCTACTCATTTGAATGAATTCTCTAATATCTCCCAAGCTTCTTTGCTTGTAGTTGCGCATGCCACCTTTGCGAACATGACTTCATCCAAAGCTTGATGAATGATAGAGAGCGCCTTTTGATCTTTCTTCTTAGTACTCCTCAAGGCATTCTTTTGATTTTGATTTAAGGCGTTGATGTCTTCGGGTTCCTCGAAGCCTTCCTCTACCATGTCCCACACATCTTCCGAACCAAGTATTGCCTTCATGCGAATGCTCCAATTATCATAATTCTCCTTTTTTAATGGAGGAACTTGAAGAGAACCGGCCATTTTAGGGTGATGACCGAACAGCTCTGATACCACTGTTGGAAATAAGTGAAGGAAGATTTGGGAAATTGGGAGGCTAAATTAGAAATATTATGGAAGAGATATTTTAACAAAGGGGAAGAACTCTTTTTATTAGAACAACTCAATTTGCTTGATTTGCTTGATTCAAAGTGGGGGTAGGAGACCTCTATTTATACTAGCACAAAGATATCTAGAATCTTCTACAATTAATACATTCTACACAATTCTACTCAATTAATTATAGGAAAATTCTAGACCACATCTTCTAGAGAAACTCTAGAATTTATTCCTTCTACATTTTTTTATTACTTGGGCCTTCCCAACAACAACTAAAACTAAATATTAATTAGGCCCAAAAACAAGTTTAATTTTCAACATTATATAGGAAGTTTTGTCTGTCCGTTACTATTTGAGGCAGTTCTCTGTGTAATTATTTGATGAAATGTTTTGAGCATCTTCTTCATTAAGTCTAGTTTACTCATACCAAATTTCAGTTAAAAATTCAATCGGGAAAGCAATCAAATTAATTTTTTAAGAGTGATAGCATCCGGGCCTTGCCGTCTTCCGGGAAATGTACCTAGTTTACTCATACCTACAAGAAATTTTTTGCAGTCAAACTCGTTGCACATACATTATTACGCATACATGAACCTCTCATACGATAAACTTGAGACCCAACTAAATCGGATCTTCAAAGGGAACCCTCTATGTATTAGTATAAATATCAGCCTCAAACCTGTGAATTCTTCCATTCACAACCCAGAGTTTGACACTCAACCCTTCGTTTTAGTCAAAAAAACATAGCTTTACAAACTCTAAAAACCTTCCCCTTCGTTAGAGGAATTCAACGAATCAGGAAGCATTGAAAACGATCATCAGAAGTGGAAGAACAAGCTCACCGGACTATTTGTCAGGATATACCGAACGGCTACTGCCCAATGCATGAGACCCCGTTCGGTACTTCACTATGCTGCTTGGCATTAATTGGGCTCCGACGTCTTGCTTTGGTCCTTAGGGATATTTTGGGATGGGCCGCTTGGGCTGGCCCTAATAGCACAACAACGGTCATGGCGTTAGAGTGGCGGATTCATATTAAATAGAGTGAGGCTCTCTATTTAGCAGGTAAACGATTTCAAAATTTTTTGTCACTGCCAATTTGCAGGTAGGGTCTAGTAAGCCATGACATTAGCAGTGATGTGAGCAATAATAAATAGAGAGAGAGGTTGCTTGCTGTATAGTGGACCATTCTCTTTTCCTTCTCCATATTATTTTGCAAGCAAGCTCTGGGCAGTCCTTCATTTGTTTACAACAAGTTCATTTCTTGTAGGTACATTCAATCGGGAAGCAGTCAAGTGAATTTTAGTTGGGTCTAGGTACATTGGTTAGCTCAATTAGTATTGTAGGCCGTAGCGAGTTCGTACGTATATGTTTAGATGTGAGACATGGATCGGTGGGTGCACATGCATGGGCGCGGCATGTTCATGTGCATATGTCTTTATTAGTTTTAGTACTTCGTATATTATTACCGTGACTGGTATATTATTGTTATACGGAGTATGTAATATCATATGCATTATTATTAGGCTTTAAAAGTCAACCCTTCTAACATTTTTATTTTTGTGTGGTATTTTTGTACACATTTTATTTTCTCATATTAAAGCATCTTTTTTATTATTTGTGTCCTATGTATAGTTATCATTTGTCACCAAAGTGTCACTTTTGTTATTTAAGTCAATGTCCTATGTAGCTCGCGATGGTGGCAGCGGCGCAAGAAATAGCCGATGATTGTCGATCGCAATAGGCTTTACGGCAGTGGTTCGTCACTTCTCCTTTAACGCAGGTTAGTAATTTTGTTTCATTGGTGATTGCATCCAAGGTTCCTTCCGGGCGTTTTGTTCCGTGATTTCTGTCCGGCTTGATTTGGCCGAGAGCTTTTGTTGTGCTTGCTTCTTGTTCTTTTTGTTTCGAATTTCTGTTGCGTGATTGAAGTGCTCCGCTGTGAATTTTGTGCCTTTTACGAAACTTTGAGCTGGTGATTTTTCGATTTGGGTCGAAATGGATATGATCTCGAAGAATGTCAATATGCTCTCAATTGCTGAGGAAGAAAACAGGGGGCTGGTGATTGCGGCTGACCCGTTGGAGAATGTGGGTGGGACTGCAGATGGTTTTAATCTAGTGACAGTGGCCAGAGTGGTGTCTGATAAACCTCTTCGTGTCGTCTCTTTCTGTCAAACAATGGATATGGTATGGAGGCCAGTGAAAGGGGTCTCTATTGATGAAATCGGAGACTCAAAATTCTTGTTACAATTTTATCATGAAGGAGATTTGAATAGAGTTGTGGATGAAGGGTCTTGGTCTTTTGAACAGAATTTGGTGGTTATTAGACGATTGGAACGTACTGATAAACCTCTGGAGGTTGCACTGGACCATGCAGACTTTTGGGTTCAGGTTCATGATCTACCACTAAGCTACATGACGGCAAAGGCTGCACGTGGCACAGCCAACAATATCAGTGCTTTTGTACAACTGGACGAGAGCTCCCCGGGCGGAAAGCAACGGCTGGTTATGCATATAAGGGTCACTTTGAATGTCACTTTGGCTTTAACCCGACGTTTACTGGTTAGACAGGAAGGTGATTGTTGGATTTGGGCAAACTTTAAATATGAGAGACTCCCAATCTTCTGCTTTTTGTGTGAGATTCTTGGCCATGCTGATCGTTTCTGTCCCTCTAACCCGCACAATGGTTTGGGGATCGGGGAGAAACCTTATGGGCCATGGCTACGGGCCGATATGAGGCGGGGAGGAGTGCACCAGAGAAATAGATGGCTTATTCCTAGCAATAGCAAACCGGGCGACATACAGGGAAAAATAGTTGAAGTTGTACAAGAGTCAGGGGAACAAGAGAGCTATTTGGTGGAGGGACTTTTGTCAAAATGGAAACAGATTACTTCAACCGGGGATGCGCCCAGAAAGCGCAGGATCACTGCTAAAGATAGAGAGATGGGGACACAGCAAAGCATGGAAATTGATGAAGCAGTTTCAAAAAACTTGGAAGTGGCGGTGCTGCCCGGACAGTACCGCCAATTAGGGATGGCAATCACAACCGAACCGATGGATACCCGCACCGAACCGCTCCGGTCAAAACAGGGAAAACCGCATTGACAGCGTAATGGGTACGGGGCAGGGAATACCCGTTTGATTTTTACAGGTAACAGGGCGGTTACGGTTTTATACATGTTCGCCCCATTACCCGCCCCGAACCCGCCCCGTTTAGTTTTAGCTATATTTTTATCTATTCTTTGTCCCACAATTACTAAAAGATAAGATTTTTCTATTTACTTTTTGTGCATATGAATAATAAATGTACTAACTATAGTGTATGAGTGATAGTTCATAACAAATCTTAATAGTTTTGTTTGATTACTATCATATTTTATGTGATTAATATTAAGTATTTTTTTGTTCAAATCAAATTAGGTTACCTTCCTTCTCGTCTTATAAATATACAAAACTTTAAAGTGGCATATGAGTCTAAGGTCGTCTAGGTGATACTCTTTTCGCCTTTTAAAATATTGTTTTTATTATAAAATATCAATGATTTATTTAATAAAGCAATTACCCGCGGTTACCCACGGTTATACCCGTTACCCGTTGGGGCGGTTATGGTTTGGGTAATGGGGCGGTTACGGGGCGGGGGAATTAGCCAACGGGGCGGGTACAGTTATATGTAAAACCGTCCCTGATCCGCCCCGTTGCCATCCTTACCGCCAATAGCGGGAGAAGACGAGATTCTGAAGATTGACCCTTTAGCGGTGGTCGGTCAAATCGCTATTCCCTTGCCAGTGGCTGGTCAAACTGGATTACGTTATTCTTCTGCTTTTTTATTAGTTCCGAACTCTTTGTTGTTATTTTATTTCCCTTCTAGTAGCAGGTACATCGTTGATGTGTATGGAATCTACCAATTTGCGGGGTTAGCGAGATGGTCCGCTAGTAAGCGCGATTCCAACTCTGAGTCTCACCCCAGTGTAGTCTTTGTTATGGCGAATTTGTACTGGGTTCTCAGCATTATTAATAATTAAGTTATCTGTTTTCAAAAAAAAAGTCAATGTCCTATGTAGTCAACATAATTATTATAAAAATGTCATGTTTATTATTGAAACATTTTTATTTGATTAAAAATGTCATCGATGTTAAAATTTTATCTGATTCACTTAATTATTAAAAATGCTACTTTCGTAACCTTTTATCTGATTAATAGAATTATTCATTTTATTTAATTTTTTCGGAGTCTCACACCTACATCACCGTGAATCATAGCAAATGGTTCATCAACACTAGTATTATTCAATTGAATTTTGTCCCTGGTATGCTTTGCCCTTAGACACGCATCACATATTCACATAATTTATCATAATCATCAACTCGGTTAGATATATTCAAACCGGAAACAATTTTGCTATAGGTACCTCATAGTTACCCCATTTCCTACCCCATATAAATACCCTCCCAAAAATTTACCCCCACTCCCTCATCTTCCTTCCCCCTCATCTCCCTTTCATCTCTCTCTTTTCCAGCCAGTCCTTCTCCCTTTCATCTCCCTTTCATTTCCCTCAGTTAAGCCCCCCTGCTTGGTTCCGGCGAACACCCAAGCAGGTCCGGTGGCAAGCCGGTCATCTTCTCCGGCGACACCTGACCGCCGTCCCAGTAATTTCAGTACCGACCAGATTTAAAAACCTTCCACACCTTCTGCACCAACTTGTAATTTCAGTTCAAAACCTTCAAATTCCAGCTTACATAACTTCGAAACATACATGTGATGGTTCAGATCTGTTAGCTTTGGTTCAAATCTGTTAGCTTCAAAATCTAGTGAAAAGAGGGGAGCGAGTTCAGATCTATTAGCTTCAAAATCTAGTGAAAAGAGGGGAGTAATAATTAGTAGTGCTAACGGTCTTACATGACCGAGAAGAACTCCCTAAACGAGGCTCACCAACAACGTAGGAAGACATGTAATAGGGATTGTATTTTTTCCACCCTTTCCAAAACACTAGTACAAGATATATATACAAACACTAGTGGGCTGGGCCCATACAAAAACAAATTCTATTCTAGAAAATTCTAACACCCCCTCAAGTTGGAGCATGAAGATTACAAATGCCCAACTTGGATAGGAAGGAAACAAATTGTTGCTTCCCAAGTGCTTTAGTCAAGATATCCGCACGTTGGATGGATCCATGTAGGGACATGGTGAGTGGAGATCGTTCCACGGGCAAGTTCATCTCGAACAAAATGACAATCCACTTCGATATGTTTAGTACGCTCATGAAAAACATGATTAGTCGCAATATGTAACGCCGTAGTGCTATCACAGTTAACGGTCATAGCGGAGCCATGGGTAATACCAAGACAGGAGAGAAGATCACGTAGCCATTTAAGCTCGCAGGTAAGTGCAGCAAGAGAACGATATTCGGCTTCAACCGAGGAGCGTGCAACAGTGTGTTGTTTCTTTGTCTTCCATGAAATAGGGGAATCACCCAATTGAACAAACCAACCGGTAATGGAACGACGCGAAATAGGGCAGGCTGCCCAATCTGAATCGCACCAACCAGTGAGATGCAAAGAAGAATGAGTACTAAGAAGAATACCATTACCAGGACTTCCTTTCAAATAACGAACTACCTAGAGTGCGGTCTGCCAAGGATCAGTTCGAGGAGCTTGAAGAAACTGAGCTAAAATATGCACGGAATATGATAACTCTGGTCTCGTGACCGATAAGTACACAAGACGGCCCACAAGACGACGATAGGGCTCAGGATCAGAAAGTAGGGGACCTGTAGCTACTCCAAGACGATGATTTTGTTCCATTGGAATGCCAAGAGGGCGAGCACCAAGCAGTCCGACTTCTGAAATAATATCCAAAACGTACTTGCATTGATTCAGAAAAATACTAGAAGGGCTGCGAGCCACCTCAATACCAAGAAAATATTTCATAACTCCCAGATCTTTCATATGGAAACAACGATGCAAATATTTTTTGAAATCGGAGATAAGCCTCGAGTCATTACCAGCCAAAATCAAATCATCCACGTAGACCAAAACATGAATAACTGAACCGCCTCGTACCAAGGAAAAAAGAGAGTAATCAGAACGAGATTGAGTAAATCCATATGTATGAAGTGCATTGGTCAATTTGGCAAACCAACAACGTGGAGCCTGTTTGAGACCATACAAAGACTTACGCAACCGACAACCCATATTTGGATGAGCGGTATGGAATCTGGGTGGAAAACGCATGTATACTTCCTCCTCCAAATCATCATGCAAGAATGCATTGTGAACATCCATTTGATGTAACTCCCAGTTTTTAATTGCAGCTACGGCTAGAAGGACCCGCACTGTAGTAAGTTTAACTACTGGGGCAAAGGTTTCGTTATAATCAATGCCTCCTGTTTGTTTATTACCAAACACAACCAAACGCGTCTTATAACGTTCCACAGTTCCATCTGACTTGCGTTTGATTTTGTACACCCATTTTGAACCCAAGGCACATTTATTTTCAGGAATGCGTTCAATCGTCCATGTCTTATTGGTTTCAAGTGCATGAATTTCTTCTTGCATGGATTTTCGCCAGTGAGCATACCTCATGGCTTCCTTGAAGGATGTTGGCTCCGTCTCTCTTTCAAGGGCTGCCAAAAACAAACGATGTGAGGCAGAAAAGTGATCACAAGAAACATATTGGTGAAGGGGATAAGGACTCGGTGATGAATGAGATGAATGATGAACAATGGTATTTGTGACATAATCTTTTAGTCTCACAGATGGAAGACGTGTCCTGTGACCCCGACCATATTCTTGTGTGGGTAAGCTCTCAAAAGAAACAGCAAGTAAAGAATCCTCCTGAGTGACGGGTATAGTTGCTGCATCTGGAGGAACATCTATGTTCTGTGAGGAGGATGTTGAAACATCCAAGACAGATGCCTGAGGAAGTTCATGTGTCGTCTGGGAACTAGGAGAGCTGGCAGGATCATCATCATCCACAGCTAACAATTCTGCCCCAATATCAAGACCTGAAATAGAGTTATGCGAAAAACCAACCTAGGAATCAGTTGCATAAGGAAATTGATCCTTTGAAAAAATAACATCCCGGGAGATAATAAATTTTCCAGTATCACGATAGTAAACTCTCCACCCCTTTTTTCCATGCGGATAGACAACAAAGACGGCAGGTCGACTTTTAGCTGAAAATTTATCACCATGTCGGTCCTGATTATGAACATAACACAGGTAACCAAAAACACGTAAATGATTCAAAGGAGGTGCTTTCCCATAGAGAATTTCATAAGGTGATTTGCCCGATAAAAGATATGAAGGAGTTCTATTAATGAGGTATCCTGTCGTTAAGACACACTCACCCCAGAACTCATTAGGCAAGTGAGCTTGAAACATTAAGGCCCGTGCAACATTTAAAATATGTCGATGCTTACGCTCAACTCGACCATTTTGTTGAGGAGTACCACGACATGAGGTCTCATGAAGGATCCCTTGAGAGTTGAAATAGTTATTCATACATTCAAATTCGGTCCCGTTATCACTACGCACAACTTTAACAAGAACTCGAAACTGGCGGTAAACCATGGCCAAAAAATCTTTCAAAGTCAACGGCACAGAATATTTATCATGTAATAAATAAACCCAAGTTGCACGAGAGAAATCGTCAACAATTGTCAAGAAGTACCGGCAATCAGAAAAACTAGGTGTCCGATACGGACCCCATAAATCAACATGAACAAGTTCAAAAATACCAGAGGTTTTATTTGTACTTTGAGGGAAACTACTGCGACTATGTTTGGAATGCATACAAATATCACATATGGGAGAGTTCTTAGTCCTTTGTGTGGCAGCTTGAGGAACTAATTCCACTATCTTCATAGACGGGTGACCAAGGCGTCGATGCCACAACTCAAATTGATCCTCCTTCAATGAAACTGGTGCAACAAAAACATGCTGCCGTATATAATAGAGGCCTCCAATTCGTTCACCTGCACCAATCACTGTCTTCGTAGTGCGGTCCTGTAATATACAAATAGATCCGGTGAAATGTACGAGACATCCGGACTATGCAATCAACTGAGATACGGAAATCAAGTTACAATTCAAGTTGGGAACAAAAATAACTCTGTGAAGAGTTAAGACAGGAGTTACTTCAACGGTTCCCTCCTTAGTAGCGTAAATTTGTTCTCCATTCGGCAAACTAACCGGACAATTTGAAAGATCAGAGACGTGTCTAAAAAATTCTAGATTACCAGTCATGTGATTAGAAGCTCTTGAATCAATGATCCAACCTGTGGAATTAAAAATACCTAAGAGCTTTTCTGTAGGATTAGATTTGGCAGCACTCAGTAGATTTAATAAAGTTTGCCACTGTTCGTCATTCAAGCCTGAGAAATCAGTCCGGTCAGCACCGGTCATTACTGCATCTCGAACACCTGCAGAAGACCCAACAACAACATTAGCAGCAATAGAGCCACGGCCTCTTCCAACTGTAGTTCCCCTTCCGCGTCCAGCCCCTCCTTTTTCTGGACGACCATTGCCTCATCCAGTCAACTTAGTGCGTTCAGGCCACCATTCGGGATACCCAATAAGCTGGAAGCAGTTATCTATCTCATGCCCAGGCTTACGAAAATTAGTACAGAGAGTGTTACGCTCACGATCCTTCATTTCACGCCGTTTCTCACGAGGCACAACTTGGGCAGCAAAGCTTGTGATTTCTCCACGGTCCTCTTGAGTTCTGGAATTATCTCTTGAGCTTTCATCCTGTGTGAGTACAGCATACACTCGTCCTACTGAAGGTAGAGGCTCTTGAGTCGGCAAGTTTGACCTAACCACACCATAACTCTTTTCATCGAGTCCCATAAGCAATTGATGAACCTTTTCCTCGTCCCATTTCTTTTCTATTCTTGCGGACAAATCACACGTGCACTTACCACACGTACACGTTGGAAACTGATCAAGATCATTCAAGTCATCCCAGATTTTCTTAAGCTTTCCATAATATGCCACCATTGTCATACCTCGCTGCTTACAGTCAGCCAATTCTCTTTTCAGTTGCTGAATTTTTGGGCCATTAACAACCGAAAATTGAGACTTGATATCATCCCAAAGTGCGCTCGCCATCTCAATGTAAGAAATACTCGAACGAAGTGTGGGTTCAATCGTGTTTCGAATCCAAGACACCAAAAGTGAATTATTGGTCCACCAATCTTCATAGTCAGGTGAGTCTTCTTCGGGTTGTGGTATTGAACGGTCCACAAAGCCGAATTTCTTTCTCGCCCGGAGTGCCGTGCGAATTGCTCTAGCCCATTCCTCATAGTTGTGTCCTCTTAGTTGAACTTGAGTGATAATACTCCCTGGATTATCACTTGATGTCAGATCGTATGGAGAAATTGTACGCCTCTGTGGAATAAAAATATTTCTGGCCGCTGAGTCTTCTTCTTCGTCCTCTGTTCTGCGACCGCCTGTCATGGTGACTGTTGGGGATGCGTAGAGAAGTTGATCGGTTGGAGTTCTATCGCCCTAAGGCTCTGATACCATAATAGGGATTGTATTTTTTCCACCCTTTCCAAAACACTAGTACAAGATATATATACAAACACCAGTGGGCTGGGCCCATACAAAAACAAATTCTATTCTAGAAAATTCTAACAACATGAAGTGGAGGCTGCAATATTGGGTGTCATGAAGGAAACGTTATCAAACTTACATAGATGGTAATCACAAGGTGGTGGCATAGGTTATGTGGGTGGAACTGACCGAAACTGTGGCAACGGTGGCGGCGGTAAGCAGCGGCGGAACCAGACAATAATTTGAGGGGGTGCTCTTATTTTTTTTTGAAAAACAATTTTTTATTAGGATAAAATAAAAACGAGTGAAAAATAATTATTAATACATATAGAGTGAGGTTCTAATAAAAAGAGTTATTCCCGTGAAAAATGAGAACGGACACATTTTTACTCGTTTTGGTACACTAGTAGATATTTATTTTACACTTTTTCACAATGAGAGAAAATTTTGATTTATTTATCAAATTGTCACTGAGTTTTTGATAAAATATAGTGCATTGTTGACTGATTTTGACTCATCGGATCTCAAGTTAAATGCACAAGATTTATTCTCGGTCAATTTTCACGATAAGAACTCTTTTTATTTGATCCGAAACTTTTATATATATATATATATATATATATATATATATATATATATGTAGTGTGTCTCAAATAAAAATGCTATTATACTGAACAAAAGGTAAATACTTATATTAACTTAAAGTAGTTTTAGAATTATTCTTGACACAACGTCCTTATATGTCATTATTAGAAGAATAAATGATTAAAATTGATTTGAATTGAAGAAATGAGAATTTAAAATAAAAGATATAGAAATTCAAAAAGTGTGATTTAAACAACATTACATCCTAGAGTGATTTAATTGAACATAAATAATTACCAAATGGGCTAAAGTCTAAAGAAGCAATAATGGAGAAAACAAAAAATATTGTTGCTCCTGAAAATTGAACTCGGGCCATTTATGTAGACATAGCTCTCCCAACCTCCACCCTGCCATTTTAACTATCCTAACTCATACGATCAAATAGAGACTCCACTTTAATATATGAATACTTTCTGAACCGGGGCTGAGATATATACATATATATACATACAGAATCACCGCCGGAGAAGGGGGAGCGCCGACACCGGCTCGCCCCCTAGTTCCGCCACTGGCGGCAAGATTACTCACTTAAAATGGAAGACCCCTTTATATTAGGTGAGCAGATTGATTGGGCGCTCGTTACTCTTCAGAGGTTAGTTGGGATCATTCTGGTACGGTATTCTCTGCCATGATGCTTCACTGAGATTTTCCGATCCGGAGAAGACAACCAGAGACCCTTTGGGGTGGTTATGGGTGGGTTTTGTACTGGCTAGGAAAAAATCAAGTTGTTTTGTCGGAGAAGATGACCAGAGCGAGTGTCATGCCGATTTTGAGGGGGCAAGAGGGCGACCGGCCTAGGCCCAAAAAAATAGAAGAAAAAATAGGCTCAATTTTTTCCAGTGTGAGTGGAATTCTTTTTTTATTCTTAAATTCAATTAATTAGGTCTAATGTTTAATTATGTTGAATTGTTGACAGTTTGAAAATTCAAAATGTAAATAAAAAGTCTTAAACAATGCCAAGTTTATAAAACAAAAATACACATTAATTTTAAGTAGGATGAGTTGTAATTTTTAAAATCAATACAATTGTTGCTCCATCAATAAAAGACATGTCTCTTCGGTCTTCTCGTCTATCTACTCTTTAAGGCATTTTATTCATTTTAATTATAACATAACAGATTTATATACTACGTAATTATTTTAGAGTCTATCTCTCTCAAATCTCATCCTAATTATTTATTTGTTTCCAAAATTTCAATTAACTATATCTGAGTTCCTAATAGTGGTTTTAGAGGACGTCCAATTGGCAGACTTCTTGCGCGAGTCTTCTTGGCAGCTAAACATTTTGTCTCTTTGAAAACCTTCATTCTTCTGATATTTCAAACTTTAGACTCTCATTAGCGATCAATAAATCATTCTCAACTTATGAATTCAATATGTAGTAATAGTTTTTTGCATTTATCCTTTCAAAAGAAAGTTTAGTGTTGTTATATGTGGCAATTTTATTGTTTGTCATATTTATTATCGGAAAAAAGTTACTTATGAAGCGATTGTTGATGATTTGCTTCACATTGTTCTACGAGAAACGTTTTTTAGTAATGTTTTTTCTTTTTATCCGATACTCGTGTTGTTACTTTTGTCCAAATATGTAACTTAAATAATAATAAAGTGATTCTCGCCTATACGTTAGAACTTATTTTTATTATAATTCATATTTCAAATAAGTATATGGTTTACGGTTTGTGTTGAATATAATGACTTAACGCCCATGGCCCAGAAATGAGCAGGCGCCGTGTGATCACGTACAGGTGTTTCAGTTTGGCTCTACTGGTGTTTGGTTCTTTTTCCGGCCTGTGGTTCGTTTACTCTACTACTTTCCCGACTGTCCGGGTGTAGCTGAAGGAGCTCCTTTCATTACCTAAAGTAACCTAGCTTGTCGCGGCCATAGTCACTGCCGCCACTGTCGCTTTATTAGCTTTGCCACCACCTCGCGCTTACCTTTAATGCTGCGTAGCCTCCATTTCCTGTCTTCCTCCGCTGTGAGCGTTGGTTATCCTCGCTTAGGAAGCTACTTATCAGTCATGGAAAACATATTTAGCATCCGGGCCTTGCTTTAGCTGCAGAAAAGAATATTTTTTGTTGTTGAAAACAACTTAGAAAAGAGTCGAGACTGTGTTTAGTAAAAAAAAAATACTCTTTTAAAAATTCTTCAAAATCCTTCGGTATTGTAATTGGGCATCCGACCAATGGACTAGCCAGCCCTATAAAACACATTAGTGTGGGTTTGGACTTTTGAGAATGATTTTCAATGATATCTGGGCTAAACAAAATTCGTCCATATCCGAATACTTGAAGTGTCTATACCCGTTTCCGCTCGGAGCAACTGAACCTCCGTCGCCGGAGGATGGGCAGGCGGAGTGCTCTCCCTCATCTTCTACTGCTTCGCTCTTACTCAGGCAAAGTAACCCCGCCCCCGCCGGCTCCCCTTCTTCGTTCATTCAATTCTTCATCCCATACTGACGATGTCCCTAGTAGACTCCCCGGACTCGTGACAGAAGAGTATCCAAGCGACTCTCCTTCCTTTTCGCCACAAGAGTTCGCTTTTTTGAAGGACTCCTTGTCGGCTAGGTCTACTTCTGATGGTATTGATGATGCTGTCCTTTTTATTAAAAGTGTACTTCGGGAGTATGGCAGTAGCAGTAATGGCTGTTTGGGGGAGGAAGCTCAGAAAATTCTTAGGCAGTTGAGGGATAAGCTGAACCCAGATTTGGTGGCTCGGGTTCTCAGAGAGGTTCGGGACGCTGAACTGGGCGTGAAGTTTTTCATGTGGGCTGGTAGGCAGATAGGGTATAGTCATAATGTAGCTGTGTTCGATGCTTTACTAGATGCTGTCGTCATCGGGGAACCCAATAATTCTTATAATGCCACAGTTCCGGAGCAAATTCTCCATGGTCTTATGGATGATGATAAAGAGGTTTTGGGGAAATTGCTTAATTTTTTTGTCCTCAAGTGCTGCCGAAATGGATTGTGGAACTTGGCTTTAGAAGAGCTAGAGAGGCTAAAGAGTTTAGGGCATAAGCCCTCCAGAGTCACTTACAATGCCCTAGTTCTGGTTTTTCTGCAAGTGGGTAAGTTGGATTCTGGTTCTTTGATTTACAGGGAGATGTCAGGCTTAGGGTTCAAGATGGATATGCACACACTGAATTGCTTTACACGCTCACTCTGCAAGGAAGGTAAATGGAGAGAAGCCCTTGATTTGATGGAGAAGGAAGGCTTTGCTGCTGATACTGTGATATACACCTCAATGATTTCTGGGCTATGCGAAGGTTCTTTTTTTGAAGAGGCTATGAATGTCCTGAACATAATGCGATCCAGTTCATGCATCCCCAATAGAATTACTTATGAGACCTTACTTTGTGCCTGTTTGAATCAAAGAAAACTGGGTAGGTGTAAGAGAATTCTTAATATGATGATTCTAGAAGGTTGCTGTCCAGGCCAAAAGATATTTAATTCACTTGTAAATGCTTATTGCAGATCAATGGATTATTCGTTCGCCTATAAATTACTCAAGAAAATGGACCGCTGTGGCTACCAACCTGGTTATGTGGTCTACAACATATTGATCGGAGGTATATGCGGCAATGATGACTTACCAAGCAAGGAATCGCTAGAACTGGCCGAAAAAATCTATGAGGAAATGCTTCATTCAGGGGTTGTACTGAATAAAGTCAACGTTTGCAACTTTGTACGTTGTCTTTGTGGGTCCCAAAATTTTGAGAAAGCCTTTCATGTGATTCGTGAAATGATGAGCAAGGGTTTTGTACCTGATGTTAGCACATACTCTAAAGTTATTGGCTTCCTCTCCAGTGCCTCAAAAATAGACAAGGCATTCATGTTGTTTCAAGAAATGAAAAAGGATGGCCTCGTTCCTGATGTTTATACTTATACAGTACTGATCGACAGTTTCTGCAAATCTGGATTCATCAAACAGGCTCGTATTTGGTTTGAGGAGATGAGAAGTGAGGGTTGTATGCCCAATGTAGTGACTTACACATCTCTTTTACATGCATGCCTCAAACAAAAGAGAATTTCCGAAGCAAACGAGCTCTTTGAGTTAATGCTGTCTGAAGGATCCATTCCTAATGTTGTGACCTTTACTGCTCTGATAGATGGCTTCTGCAAAGCAGGGAATGTGGATAAGGCTTGCCAGATCTATGCAAAAATGAAGGGAAGTGTTAGCACTTCTGAAGTAGACATGTACTTCGAGACAGATATGGGTAGTAGTGCAGTGAAGCCCAATCTTGTTACGTATGGAGCTTTAGTGGATGGTCTATGCAAAGCACATAGGGTAAACGATGCTCGTGATCTATTGGATACAATGTTAGTGGAAGGTCAAGAGCCAAATGTTAATATATATGATGCTCTTATTGATGGATTTTGCAAGAAAGGAAAGACAAATGAAGCACATGAAGTGCTTTCCAGGATGCTGGATCGTGGCTATGATCCTAGTGTTTTTACTTATAGTTCTTTCCTTGACAGGCTTTTAAAAGATAAACACTTGGATCTTGCTATGAAAGTTTTGTCTCAAATGCTCAAAAAATCTTGTCGACCAAATGTTGTGATCTACACGGAGATGATAGACGGCCTATGTAAGGTTGGAAAAACGGACGAAGCTGACAAGCTTATGTTGATGATGGAAGAAAAGGGCTGCAAGCCAAATGTTGTGACTTATACCGCGATGATAGATGGATTTGGTAAAGCTGGTAAAGTTGAAAAATGCCTTCAATTAACCCAGCAGATGGTTAGTAAGGGTCTTGCACCAAATTACATAACTTATGCAGTCACGATCAAATACTGTTGTTCTGCTGGTCTTCTGGATGAGGCTGTCCATCTGCTAGATGAGATGAAACAGACATATTGGCCGAGACATATGGAAAGCTATTATAAGATTATTGAAGGGTTCAACAAAGAGTACTTGATCAGTATTGGTTTATTGGAGGAAATGAGCACGAATAGTTCTACCATCTCTTTTTTCCCCGTTTATAGGATTTTGATTGATAGCTTACTCAAAGCTGGAAGACTAGAAGTGGCTGCTGACCTACATAAAGAACTTTCGTTGTCATCATATCACGACAAGAATATTTATGCTTCTTTAATCCAGAATCTTTGTATAAATCTGAAAGTTGATAAAGCATTTGAGTTATATGCAGACATAGTAAAAAAAGGTGCAATTCCAGAAGTGAGCGTCTTTGTTAGCCTCATCAAAGGGCTTGTATTGGCCAATCGGTGGGAGGATGCGCTCGACCTCTCTAGGAGTCTATGTGATATGGTTAGCAACTTGTCACCTCATTTACTATCTACTGGCACAAAATATGATTTCTCTGGTCGGGCTATCGTCATTTCTTCTTATTTTGATAATGTGCTTGCAGAATTCAAGTTAAAAGATAATTAGAGTAACACACTGACATCTGAACCCGAGGAAAAATATATTAATTCAAAATACTAGTGGAACCTAGCATTTCGTTTACAACCCCCATATCTGGATCCATTTATTCTTAAATTGTAATGGTTTGAATGTGCAAATATGCTAATAAATGTTTCTTCAATCTTAACAAGAGAATATGTTATGATATATTGTGTTTGACTTCTGATTCTTTGAAGTAATAATAATACTGCGTAGTAGTAGTAATAATAAATTAATAATAATAATAATGATTGTTGTTGTTGTTGATGTTGTTTTTGTTGTTATTATTATTATTAATATTATTCTATATTCATCCAATTTTCATGGTGAACAGGATGTTCGCTGGCTAACTGCTGACAAGAAAATGGATGGCAGCTAGTCTGATATATGGGTTCAACTAAGTTCAATCAATGCCCATGAATATCCGGTGACATCAGACACCTCTGGCTTAAGAAGACCAATTTGTGTTTGTATTCTCTTCTTCAATTTTTCACATTATAGCTACTCCTGTTAGCATTGTTTTTAAGAACACTAGGCAGCCAGTACCCAGTACACTGAGGCCTAGCACCTAGAACTCTAGAAGTGGCCTGTATAGGAATAAGTGGAACATATATACAGTTAGGAGGAGTCATTTCCAGAAAACTGTCAGAGCAAAACCAGCTGACTGACCAACAGAACCAAACCAACCGAAACCAATCTAACCATAGGCGGTTCAGTTTGTGATTCAAAATTTAGGATTTGAAACTGAATCCAGCAAAAAATGACTTAACTGAAACTGACTTAAGTTATTTGATTCGGTTTTCAGTTTCAAATGTTCAAAACCCAACCTACCTACACCGGACTGACAAACACCCCTAGATACCATGTGGCTCATCCGGGCTGGTCTTCATGTGTTCCGTTCTTGGTTGAGAATTTTTTCAATTTCGCCGTTAAGCAACAGAGTGCTCTTTTGAATACTTTTTTATTGGCAGCCAGTTGGGAGAGTCCTGTTAACTGCTGCATGTAATGTGTTTCAGCTGCAGCAAGAACCAAGGCGAGGGATATATGTGCATGACATTGTGTTGGAAAGAATCATTCTACCGAGAGTCCAAAAGTCAATTGCCATCCACCACTATCCATCTGTAATGGTGCTTTCACCTTCAGGTATTTTTTATGCCTTGGGTTTTCTTCTATTCTCTGAGTTTGTGTTATGAATTTTTTTGTCCGAGTTTTCTTCTATCCTCTGATTTTCTTGGGTGATACTCCCTCTCTCGTAAAATTCTTCCCTGTTTGACTTGGATCAAAGTTTAAGAAAATGAGAATAAAGTGAAAATGTATTGTTGTGGTTGAGTAAGACAAATGTAAATGAATGGGGTAAGGGTCAGTTTGGTTCTGGAAGTTGCATAAAAGGGGTCAAATAAGTCCTTATGACGTCCTTATTGTCCGGTCGTCACCATTTGGGGCAGTTCCTGGTGAAATTTTTTAATGAATCTTTTTTGAGAATCTTATTCATTAAGTCTAATTTACTCATACCAAGTTTTAGCTAAAACTTAAATCGGAAAGGCATTCAAATGAAGTCTTGAAGATAACTGCGCTTTTATCAGCGCAGTTATCTTCGAGACTTCATTTGAATGCCTTCCCGATGAAAGTTTTATCTGAAATTTTGTATGAGTAAACTAGACTTAATGAATAAGATGCTCAAAACATTTTATCAAAAAATTCCACCGGGAACCGCCCCAAATGGCGACGACCGGACAGTAAGGACGATATAAGTACTTATTTGACCCCTTTTATGCAACTTCAAGGATCAAATTGACCCTTACCTCGTAAATGAATGTTAGCCACACAAAGCTTTCCAAAAAGGGAAATGAGAAGAATTTTTTGGGACATCTCAAAAAGGTAAGTGAAAAGAATTTTATGGGAGGGAGTATGTTTCTTTTGAATTGGATGAGAGTATAAATTTGGAAAGAGAAAAGTGGAGGGTGAATATTCATATATTGATCTCTTTTCATCTTTTTAATTATCTTTATCCTTCTTAGGTTCTCTACCCTTTTATCCTTTTTAATCTATATATATTCTTTTTATCATTTTTATCTTATCTTTATATTATGTTTTTAACTTTGTGCATCTTACCTTATCTTTTTATCTTTTTTTTGCTCCGATATCATGTATTGATTCATGTTAGTCGTCTCCAAATTATTTTGGGACTAAGACTTGGATTTGTTGGTGTTGTATCATAAATCAAAGGGCTTCTACAGTTCTACCCGCTTTTGTCTAAGAAATCATGTCACAATCTGTTGCATGCACAACCAAAGTCTAAATACAATTCACAAGAAAGTATAAAGAAATTAATGGCTATCTTAAAAATGCTCTACGAAGTCGATAATTAGTACACAAATTGATCTAACACCTGAACAAAAAAAAGCTGGGTTATCAATTTCGTGACCATGATAATTTATTTATATTTTATAATAATTATATTAAAGGGTCCATTTGCTAACTCACTTACCCGACTCGATTAGTGCATGTATTGCTTTTTTTTTTCTTGGATGAAATGGTAGAACACTTGAAATGAAGAAAATTGATATTTACTTAAAAAGAACATTCTAAATTCATTTTTAGTCAATTCAGCCATCTGCCACAGCCAAGTTTATCCTACCCTACACAGCTTTTGAATTCAATAGAGAATACATGAGTTCTTGAATCGACAATTTGGATGGTGGGGGCATCAATCATTTTGTAATGGAATTTTGCTCTACAACTTTCACAGGTTAGAGGATGTGAGATGCCTCGTCCTTAAATGCTTGCCTCTCTGATTCCTAATGCTGTCTTCTCTCCTGGACAAATTCACATTCTGATCCCTGTTATGGAAGAGAACTAATCTCAACTGTAATACATTTTCTTGGGAACAACCTGCTCACCAAACCCGTCATCACCCACTGGTTAGTGCCGCGGGCCAATCAGTGTCTCATGATGCAACACATTCTCATGGACCAAAAAATCGAAGGGGTGGGATTCATAGATCATAAGAGGCACAAAGGTGGTGTTGATTTGGGGTCATGGAGGACGGAATACGAAGGTGTGGAATGACGTGGGGTTTTTGCCGTTTCCCTGCATATCAATGCTTCTCAAGTTGTCATTAAATAATTATTATGCATGTATATAAAAAAGTATGACATCTCATCTCTGAGCACCCATAACACCTACCAAGCGGTTAATAAGGAGGATGTAAATTGAATTTTAGTCACAGACGGACATATAACGAGTACTTGTAGTTGTTGTAGAGATTCAATGCATTTTTACAAAGTAACATTTCATCGTAGTTCCAAGGATTCGAACTCGAGGCTTACCAAGGAGAGATGTTTGTTTGTACGGTGTGCAAAACTTGTATTGCATTTGTTGAATGGAATATGAATGTATATACTAAGGTCCATTTGATAGCACTGGAATTTGGCGAATTGATTGAATCCGCTAAAATTTATGAAGTTTTGACGACTGAATTAGTAGGAATATGCTGAACTATAGAAAAATTATATTAAAATACATTTTATTAATAAAATCAAAAAAAATACATAAAACTAGCTAAAATGGTGTTTTATAGTAATTTCAGCGAGGGAAGTATTTCCAACATTACTTATTTTGATTACTCAATTCAGTGCATGAAGTAAAAAGTTACGTATTTGATAAAAGATTGATTGATTAGTTGAAAATCAAGATTATCAAATGAGCGGTACATAGTTCATATTAAAAAAAGTCGTATACATACAACTTTGCCATTTGCACCTGAACTGTTCCCTTTAATATACATAAAATCCGCTTCAGATAAAAAGGGAATTCAATGAACAGATGAACTTATTAACGTTAAAAAATGAGTTGATATACCGTGAGAGCATCCCACATTGAGCATGGTACTTCCTAGTGGTGGACTTGGTTCGGGCCGGGCTCGGTTCGGGCCTTGAATCGGACGAGCCTCGGTTCACGGTATGGGAGGCCCGGAACCGGCCCGGATAACCCCGGGTTCGGTTCGGGTCACCCGCCCGGTTCACGGGCCAGGCCTTTTATTTTATTTTTAAAAATTATATATTATATTATTAGAATAATTCTTATTACAAAAATAATTTGAAGTTGTAAGTTATAAGTTTGTAACCAATTAATTAATTTAAGTTATAAGTTTGAGCATTATTGAATTGATGTACACAATAATATAAAATAATTCAAGTATATTTATTTTAAATAAGAAGTACAATTGAGAATTAGGATGAATTTAAAAAATGTAATACATTTTGTAATAAAAAATCAATCGGAATCTCCGCCTTCGGTTGTTTCCTCCATAAAGTGGCGGGTGGGAGCGATGGTCATTTCTTGAGTTTTTCGTTGGGCCTTCAACCAATCGTGGAAGCAAACTAGCGTCTCAAGAGAGCTCGGGCTCAACCTCGTTCTATAATCGGTTAGGACGTTGCCGGCCGCACTAAATTCTTGTTCCACGGCAACGGTTGATATCGACATTGCTAGCACTTGCTTAGCCATCTTTGATAAAATCGGGAACGTTCTTTCATTTTCCTTCCACCACTTAAGAACGTCAAAGTCATCCCCAACTTCATAATCAACATTCAATGTTAGATACAAAGAAAGCTCGTTACCTGAACTTTGTTCAGTAGCGGGAGTTGCTCTACTTTTTTTCAAAAGAGAACCAAAAGCGGATTTTAAAAGTGATTTTCCTTTAGATGAAGAAGATGTTTATGGCATGGGAGGGGGTGCATTACCATATTGTGCATGAAATTCATTATACAATTGATGAAATAAATTACTAACCTCGTTGAATTCTTGTTTAGGGTCGATGGGATTATCATCTAACTCTTGAGTTGGAAAAAAAGAAGCATAATAGTAATCTATACAATTTGCCAAGTAAGCAAGTTTATAACGAGGATCAAGAACACATGCAATACCATATATATGCGGAATATGTGAATAATATTTTAAAAACTTTTGTTTCATGAAATCACAAAAATAACTAACGTAAGCGGCATCGGAAAATTCACAAAAAGCACCAGCGAGATTAACAGCTTCAACAAAAAATTCGTTTGCGGTAGGTTTATAAACATAACTAAAAGTTTGAGTTGCGTTATTAAAATATGCCAAAACATTAACAATTTTTTCACAAGTATCGATGTCAGCCGGGTTTATAATATAGTTACAAGTTTGTCTAATATTAACAGCTTCAGCAATTAACTAATATTAATATGAGAAATGTAACAATTAAGTAGTTTAACTAGTATTAATATGACAAATGTAACAATTAACTACTTTAACTAGTATTAATATGACAAATGAAACAATTAAGTACTTTAACTAATATTAATATGACAAATGTAAAAATATACTATTTTTTTTACTTTAATGAGAAATGTAGCAATTAAATAAGTAACTAGTTTAACTAATTTAATAGATAAACGAGAAGTCTAACAATTAACTACTTTTATAAAATGTATGGATGCGTATAAGTCTATATGAATGAGTATAAGTATATATAGTATATATAATGTGTAAATATATTACAAGTAATATATAATATAATGTGTAAAGAATTATAATATGAATGTGTATAAGTATATATTTATAAGTAGATAATTAATATATAAGTAGATATAATAATTATATAAATTATATAAATGTAGAAAGAATTTGGAGAAGATGAAGAATGAAGATGATTGAATATGAGAGATTGAGAGAATAGAGAATTTAGAGAGTAGGAAGAGTTCTAGAAGAAGAGGTGTAAAAATGTATAGAAAATAGGAGTATAAATAGGTTTTTTTTGTATACCCCACCCCCACCCCCACCCCACCCCCTAACCCCCCAGACCCCCCCTCCTATGCTCCCAATGGCTATAGAGCCGTTTGGGAGCTCTCCCAACGGCTATAGAGCCTTTAACAATTAAAAAAAAATTAAAATTTTGACCGTTGAAGCCCGGCCCGGCCGGTTCACTATATAGTAGGCCTGGGCCCGAACCGCTATCTCACCGAGCCGGGTGGCCCGAACCGGGCACTAACCGGTTCACCGGGCCGGTCCGGGCCCGCACAGTAGCGGGCCGGGCCGGTTCCGGGCCGGTTGGCCCGACCCGAGTCCATCCCTAGTACTCCCATTAGTAAAAAACGTCATTTAATATATAAAAACGTGGATGAACAGAAACCATAATTTTTGGCTCACTATTGTTTGTGATGTAAATCGTGTGCATTAAAATGTAACTCGCATCCCTGCGAAATGTAATCACAATTATTAGTAAGCGTAACTCATACACTGAAAAGTGACTTTGCAGATCCAGGCTCAGTTCAGCGTTCTTATCAACACACCGAACGATGAAGGCCGAGGCAAACCGAACGAATTCAGCATGAACTGAGCATAGACGACCTTGTAATGACGAAATAGATCGAGGTAAAAGGGGTGGAGGGGAAATCGCAGCCCTGCCTTCACCGAATGTAAATGCACCATCAGCATGCCCGAGCGTCTCCTTAGAGGATGCTCTACCCCTCGCAGACTATAGACGGCCGACAGAGGTAGATATAGTCGCAATTCTTGCAGAGCCTTGCCGGAAAAAAAATTGCTTGCACCCATGGGCATTATGCAGCGGCATCACATGGTGTGGAACGTCTTGGGGGATACCGAGTTCGAAGACGGTCAGGTCATCCCCATCATAGGCTTCGTCACCCGAATCAACATCTTCGGGTTGGGGTTCAACGGCGTTGTCCTGGGCGGCCTCTTCCTGGACGACGATTTCTTGGACAATGTCGTTTCCGACATGGTCATGGGGAACGACGTCCGTATTCACGGCATCAATAATGTTTTCTCCGATTGTAGATGAGGTCCCAGAGCTGCCAGAAGAACTCGTCTCTCCGGACGACCGGGATTCCAAACCAGATTCAGAGGATGAATGGGAATCCGTGGCTACTTCCATAGGGCCCGACATCGGAAAACTAAAGAAAAGAGCAAAGAAAAGAATGAGAAAGGGTATTACCTTAAATAACTTGAGAAAGAAAAAGCTGATGATCGGGAGATCCGAGCTGAAGAACTGCGAGTACTTGAGAATGAAAAAGTGAAAATTTGGAAACCCTAAACCATTCAAGGGAACTAGTATTTATAATGGACTGCACCGCCCAGAAGACTAGTAAGAACGCGACACGTGGTGAGGAGCGTACGCCAAGACACGTGTCGCGCAGAGCTCAACAAACGCGCAATGATGGTTTCCGCATTGGAAGTTGAACCGCCTGTCGTAACCATCACCTAGGGTTCTGGGAACCGCCTAGTGACAGTAAACCATCACGTCAGGAGCGTCAGTGGAGTTTCGGCTCGGAGAGAGCATTCATTCTTCCTTATGCTCCGCGCACGCTCGAAACATCAGAAGTGAGGGACTTACGTTGGGTTAATAAGCCCGATAGCAGTTCAGCCCATTAACCCTTAGCAAGGAAACTATTAATGTCCAAATTGGTGCTCAATCCGGCAAGGTGCTCATCAAACATTCGTAGATATCCCGAAGATGCTCGGCCCCACTAACCTTGGCCCAACGTTAGCCAGATGATGATCCATGGCCTTCGACAAAATAGCCCCCAAGAGCCGAGCATTGCCTCTCCCTTGGGCCCAGCCAGAACCAGGACCCAAGGTCCGGGGGACGCTCGCCCAGGGCATTTGGCGGGAAACCAAGATATTGGTAGGAAGCGCTTTTAAGGAAATAGATTTGGTGGTTGGAAAGCTAGCCATCCACAATCCTCCACATCATCAACATCACCTACCACTTGGTAGTATAAATAGTAGCATTTATTTCATGGTAAAGGGTTGATAACTTATTCTCTCTAGCAAATATCAATTATTATAGCTCCTCTTACTGAGATAGATGAACGGTCTCGGGGCTTGTAGTGAAATGCGTTGTACACAGACCCTTATTTCTATTGAATAGGATATGGCCCACTTATTACTATTTGGACATATCATTTCCTTGTTTGTTTGCATTGTATTATCCACTTAATCCACCTCATATTCCACTCGAAATCCAAGGGAAGGTGTTGGGCTTTTGAGTTGAAGGAATAAACCTCAACAAAGGTAAATGTACATATATCCCTTAGAAAACCAAAATATAAAAGAAAGAAAATGTTTGGTCAATCTAGATATCCTAGGAGGCCGATTAAGCTATCTAGGCGGTCAACTAGGCGTCGTAGACGGTCAACTAATTCACCTTGGCGTCAAACCAATTAGTCGGAGTGTCTAGACTAAAATCGGGGTACTCGGCCACCGCCTAGCGCCTAAGTGGGGACTAGTCGGC